TGAAGAAGCATTGATACATGAGGTTCCAGCCAGCTTTGACCTAATGGGTGAGGCCCTGAGAGGAAGCCGGGCTATAGAGATCTGAGCTTCCCCTCTGCTTTGTCCTCTGACACCCCCAGCCCAGTGAGTTTGAGGAGGAGGCGTCTCGGAGGGTGGATGACCTGCTGGAGAGTTACATGGGCATTCGGGACCCAGAGCTGGGTAAGGGGCCAGGGTAAGCCGGGGACCCTGGGGGGAGGCTGGCCCATGGGGAGGAGGTGGGGGTCCCAAGGGGAAGTTGTGGTCCCAGAGCACCTTTACTAATTTCCCTTCCTGCTTCGGCAGCGTCCACCATGGTGGAGACATCCAAGAAGACAGTGAGCGTTCAGGAGTTTGCACGCCGTTTAGACTCCGTCTTGGGCGAGTTCGCCTTCCCGGACGAGTTTGTGGTGGAGGTGTGGGCCGCCATCGGCGAGGCCAAGGAGGCCTGTGGCTAGTCTGCCCTGGGGCTGAGCGCAGCCCCAGCCCGGAGCCCAGCCCCCCGCCCCAGCCCTGCCGGCAGATTTCTGAAGCCCAGCCCTGCTCCAGAGCCCAGCTCAGATCTGAGACCCAGCGCCCCTCTAGAGCCCAGGTCATCTCTGAGACCGATACCAGTTCTAGAACCCATACCAGTTCTGAGACCAAGCCTAGTTCTGAGACCAAGCCCTGTTCTAGAACTCAGCCCTCCTCTAGAACCCAGGCTAGCTCTGAGGCCAAGTTCACCTCTAGAGCTTCCTCTGCTTCTGAGACCAAACCCAGCTCTAGAACTCAGCCCTCCTCTAGGACCCAAGCTAGCTCTGAGACCAGGGTCAACTCTAGAACCCATACTAGTTCCGAGACCAAGCCCAGCTCTGAGACCAAGTCCTGCTCGAAAACACAGCCCAGCTCTGAGACCAAGCCCAGCTCTGAGACCAAGTCCTGCTCTAAAACACAGCCCAGCTCTGAGACCAAACCCAGCTCTAGAATCAAGCTCAGTTCTGAGGCCAAGCCCAGCTCTGAGACCAAGCTCTGTTCTAGATCCCAGGCCAGCTCTGAAGCTAAGTTCATCTCTAGAACACAATCCAGTTCTGTGACCCAACCCAGCTCCAGAACACAGCCCTCATCTCGAATCCAGGACAGCTCTGAGGCCAAGCCAAGCTCTGGCATGAAGGCAAGTTCTGGAACCCAGACAAGTTTTAAGATCCAGTCCAGCTCTATGACCAAACCCTGCCATAAAATTCAACCTGACGCTGGAACTCAAGACAGCTCCACAACACAGCCACACACGGGCACCCAGCCCAGCTCAGGAACACCAGTTAGTTCTGAAACCCAAGTAAGACTCAAGAAGCAGCCCAGCTACAGAAGCCTCTCCAGCTCAGGATTCAAAGACAGCTCCCAAAGCCAACCCTGTTCACAAACGCAGACCAGCTCAGGGGCCCAGATGCATGTGGCGGCTCAGTCCAGATCCCTGCCCCAGCCTGGCTCTAAAACTCAGTTTCACTCAAGTACCCACCCTCATTCTGGGGCACAGTCCAGCTCCACTGACGAGTCCAGTTCAGAAACTGAGTCCAGCTCTAGATCCCGGCCTAGTGCTACAGCCAGACCCATCTCCAGAATTCAGACAAGCCCTGGACCTTCATCTGCCTCAGGGGTAAGGCCTGTCTCCACAGCTCAGCTTGATGCTGATCCCCACTCTCACTGCAGTACACAGACCAGCGTTAGGACGCCGTCCAACTCTGGGACCCAGATTAACTTCAAGGACTGGCCAATTTCCAGAGCTCAGTCCGGATCAGGCACCCAACCCAGCTCTAGAACTCAGCTCAGTTCTGGAGGGCAGCCTGGCTCCGGGATCTCATCCGGCTCCAAAACACAGTCAGTTGCTGAGACCCAGTTGAGTTCCAGAATGCAGCTCAAGTCTGGAAACCAATCTAGTCCTGGGACCCAGACCAATGCAGCAACAGACTTAAGCTCCACAGCTCTGTCTAGCTTTAAGAGCAGGCCAAGCTCCAAGACCCAGCCCTGCACAGCTCAATCAACTCCTCGGACTCCATTCATCTTGAAATCCCTACCAAGTTCTAGATACCAGCTCCAGGCCACAACCCAAGGCAGCTCTGGTACTGAGCCAGACTTTGTGAAGAGGATCAACTCTGCAACTGAGCTCATCTCTAGAGTCCAGTTCAGCTCTGAGACTCAACTCAACTCTGAAACCCAGACCAGTTCAAGAATACAGCCCAGCTCTGGAACCCACCTTAGTTCTAGAACCCAGCCTGTTTCTGGAACTCAACCCAGCATCAGAGCCCAGACAAGCTCTGGAAGCCGGCTTGGCTCTGAGACCCAGCCCAGCTCTGGGGCCCAGACCAGTGCAAGAGATCAGCCCAGCTCGGGAGTCCACCTTCACTCCAGAGCCCAGCCCAGCGCTGACACCCAGCTTAGCTCTGAGACTCAGCTCAGCTCCAGAGCCCAGCCCAGCTCTCGGACTCAGTTTAGCTCTGAGATGCAGCCCCACTCTGACATGCCAACCAGTTCAAGAGTACAGCCCAGCTTTGGAGCCCCCCTCGGTTTCAGAACCCAGCCTGTTTCTGGGACACAAACCGGTTCCAGAGTCCAGACCAGTTTTGGGATACAACTCAGATCTGAGACCCAGCTCAGCTCAGAGACCCAGCCCAGCTCAGAGACCCAGCCCAGCTCTGGAACCCAGGACAGTGCAAGAATTCAGCCCAGCCCTGGAGCCCAGCTCAGTCCCAGAACCCAGACCAGTTCTAGGGTTCAGTTCAGCTCTGAGGCCCAGCCCAGCTCTGAAATCCAGACCAGTTTAAATACTGAGCCCCGCTCAAGAATCCACCATAGTTCCCGATCTCAGCCTGTTTCTGAAACCCAATCCAGCTCCAGAACCCAGACCAGTTTAACAATCCAGCTTAGCTCTAGAAATGGGTTTTGCCCACAGACTCCTGGCCTTGTCCCTAGAACCCAGCCTGATCCCGTTCCCCCAGCTCGACCTCAGCCCCCAGGCCCACCGCCCAGAGCCCCTTCTCCAGCCCTTAGCAAAGTCTCTCTGCCTCAGCCCCAGCCGCATGATCTGGTACATGGAACCCAGGCCAACACTGGCCTGGGCAGGAGCCCACCGACTTCCCACCTGGCCCCACAGCCACGGGCCCCCTTGGCTCCCAAGAAACCAGTCCTTTTCCCCAAGCCCCAGACAGGACCTCCTAAGTTCACTCCACCTACCATATCTGTCATCCCTAGTTCTGCCTCCAGGGTGGCCCCTCTGCAGTCCCAGTCCCCTGAACCCTCAGCTCAGGAGCATGCTCCCTCTCCCCTGCTTAGGGAGTCAGGAGCTGCTCTGCAGGGGTCAGAGACCCTGCCCCACCACAGGGAGCTGTAGCTTGGGGGTCACATAGTTTTGGCCCTGGTGGATCCCATCCCTCTCTTTCCTCTCCCAGCTCAGGGCCCCCAGAAGCGGCAGGTGACCTCATTCCCCCACAGGTGGAGGGAGGGAGAATGGAAACGGGCTTCAGTTTCATTGGGCTTGGCTCTGGGAGGTGTAAGCAGATCCCCAAGTCTGTGGAGGGGAACGGGAGGGGGCAGGGAATGGTTTGCTCTTCATGTACCTCGAGGGCTCATGGGAAATAAAGGCACGTCCCACCCCTGCAGCCAGGAGTGCCGTTTTTTAAAAATTGTAATCCTTTTTTAAAAAGATGTTATTTATTTTTAGAGAGAGGAGAAGGTAGGGAGAAGGAGGGAGGGAAGCATCGATGTGCGAGAGAAACATCAATGGGTTGCCCTTTGTATACGCCCTGAGTGGGAACGAACCTGCAAGCCAGGCATGTGCCCTGACTGGGAATCAAACTGGCAACCTTTTGCTTCATGGGACGACTCCAAACAACTGAGCCACACCAGTCAGGGCCAGGTGGGTGGTTTCTGAGGGAGTTTGGGGGACAGCAGAGAAAGTGGCAGGCATGAGGGTCTAGGAGGCTATGACAACACTGGCTGCTTCTAAAGTACCTACTGTGTGCCAGGTGCTTTACAAGTACTCACTGTGCATGTATTCATGTGCTTGCACATAAACGGTGCTCCTCAAAAGCTCGTTCATTCGTCCATTCAATCAATCTTTGTTGAGCACCTACTATGGGCCAGGTGCTGTTTGTTCAAGGCGCTGGGAGTCTGAGTGTTAAGTGGATGAATGGCTAAACGATAAGCTTATGAGGGAATGACTCCATCTAGAGTGGAGGAAGCAGGCATCATTCCCTGGTCTTGTGTGTATCTCTCTCCCTTTCTTGTCTTCATCTGCAAAATGGGTTTAATACCAGGACCCTCTCTAGGGCCTGTAGGGAGGATTCCAGGAGATTTGACTCAATAAAGGAAGTGGGGATAGGAAACAGAACACAGCCTCATCCCCTCTGCCCTTCTCACATCCTGTTCTCAGCTGCTACATGGTTGGATAGCAGTATGATGCACCAGTCTTCAACAAATGCTGACTGACTTACAGACCCCAACGAAAATAAAGCCAGGCTAAGATATATTTTGGCAAAAGAGGGGGTGTCCTGCCTATTTACATTCAATCTTTTTTAGAGCCTTCTCGGGTCGGGTCGGGTCGGGGTGTCAAAGGGGTGTTCCTCAGAGAATAGGTCATATTTAGTGGTCAGAATCCCGTTTCCTGAGGACTTCTGGAAGGGATGGCTTACGAGTCTAATTGCCTCCGGACACCCTCCCTACACCCCTACTCACACTTCCTGGGGCTGGGAGGGGGCTGAGAGAAGGGAAGGGCCTTGGAAGAGGGGATGGGGAAGTGTTGGCGGGTCCCCAGGGCTGATGGGACACAGCTCACAATCTTGCCGCTCAAACTCCGTTCATCCCACACTCCCAGGTCCTGGACTTCAGGACGGGCAGATGTGATGGTCAGGGAGGACGGAGGCCGAATGGGGGACACGCTGGCAGGGTGTTCTGTCCCGTGCGCTTCCGGAGCCATCATGAGGTCTGCCCCCGCCCCCCGCCCCGCCCCGGCCCTATGGCACGGTGGCCCTCCGGGTGAGCTGGGGCTGCAGGGAGAATGACCGGGGCCGGGCACTGAGGCCAGGCTGGAGGCGCCGGATCACGGCCCGGCGGAACAGGATGTACACCCAGGGGTCCAGGATCTGGTTCCAGGTGGCCACACGCAGGTAAATGAGCAGCTGTTTCTCCGTGGTTTCGGACAGCTTCCCAGCCGCATTCATGACCGGCGGGCTCCGCAGCACTGTCTGGGCGATGAAGACCTGCCGAGGGCCAGAGCGGTTACCAGGAGCCAGGCCAGCCCCCGCCCCGCACCCCCAGCACCCGTGGCCCCGAGAGCGAGGACGGATTCTGTCACTGCTTTGCTCTGTGCCCTTGGGAGAGCAGCCCGACCTCTCTGAGCTTCGGTTGGCGTAGCCACAAAAATAGCGCTTTTCTAGCTCCTCCCCTGGGCAGAATTACGTGTGGTGGGAAGGAAGACTTGCAGGGGCCGACAGCTGGAGTTTCCAGTACAGCCAGCGTTGTTGTTCTAGTAAACATTTCCTACTTTTTAAACATTTCATAATATAATATCATAAAATTATAGTCTTAAATTGTATATGAAATGATGTAATTTTATATTACATGTTTTACTTTAAGGGATTTTACATAATATTAAAATTTATATTTTATAAAATTTTTATGACAATTAATTTTATATTAATTTTATATTAAATTATTTTAATATATTTTATTAAATATTGAACTTTGCATTTAATATTACATAATATATCATTTAAGTTTTTATAAACTATTATATAATACAATATAATTCTCTAATAATATATTGTTATAGTTGTATATTATATAGTTAAAAATGTATGTGTAATTATATGACATGTAATATAATTATGTAGCTAAGCATTGTATAATTGATATAACTATTAAGTATGAATTAATAATATAGTTATATATTATATAGTACTTAACAATGATATAATATAAATATGTTATTATATATTATATGATACTTGATATAATTATTAATTATGCTACACATAATTAATTATAATGTACATATAATAATTGTAATAGAAAATTATGTCAAATACAATTATAAGTCACATTGTAATAAATGCATTATCTTAAAATTTTATTATATTAAAATAAATTATTATGTTAAAATTCTATTCAAATGGTTTCCTAAGCACTACTGTGTGCTGGACAAGGCTGGGGACACTGCCACGGACAAGATACCCAGCCTTGCCCCAGCCTGGGAGTTGTCTGTGTCTCGCTCATGAGCTCCTCCAGGAAGGTCATCCCAGGGAGGGCCCCGGGATATGTGCCCACAGTTTCTCAGGCGGACAACAACATGAGGATTGAAATTCATTTTGGACGAGCAGAGGCCCAGTCGCCACGGATGGCGGGGACCCAGGGCAGACCCTGCACTGGCCACTCACCAGCAGTGGCATCCAGCAGACAGTGGCCACCACCATGATGCCGGTGAGCTGAGCCATCATCTCAACCTCGCAGTCCCGTGGACGCTGCTGGGCGGCCTCCTGCCCGTGGTAAACGTGGCACAGAGTGGCCACACTGATGGTATTGAGCAGGAGAGACAGCCCCACTGAGAAGCAGCCGAGGAACGCAAACAGCAGGCCAAACGCCACGTCTCCAGGCTCGGGACCCAACGTGAGGAAGCACCAAGAGCCCGGGTACTGCACAGTGTAACGGCCCACGCCCAACAGAGGCAGCAGGCCGAGCGCCAGAGCAGCGGCCCACACCACCCCCACGGTGGTCCATGCGCGGCGCTGCGAGGTGGCTGCAGGGCGTGAGAAGGGTCGAGTGATTCCCAGGTAGCGCTCCGAGGCCATGGCGGCCCCCAGCAGCAGCGGGCTCAGGCCGAAAAAGACCATGACCACACCCATGAAGCGGCAGAGGCAGCAGCTGGGGTCCACGGAGTGCCAGTCAAAGAGGATGGCATGCTGGGACACAACGATGGCACCGGTGATGAGCAGCCCCATGAAATCGGTGATGACAAGGCCACAGAGGAAGGTGAGGAAGGAGGATCGCACTTGGGAGTTGCTCTGCCGCGTGCCTCCCAGCACACTCAGGGCCAGCAGGTTGGAGGCCAGGCCCACCAGGCAGAAGGAAGCAGCAAACCATGGAGAGGCGATCATGCGCCGCTCCTCCAGTGTGATGTTTGTTGGCCGGAAACAGGGCCCCAGGGAACTGCCATTGGGCCACATGGCACTGGAGCAGAGTGGGGAGGGTCACCACCCCATTGAGCTGAAGCTGTAGGTGGGGCAGGCTGGCTCTGGCTCTGGCGCACCTGGTAGGGGCAGAGATGATTTGCTGGTGATTAATTCTGAATTTTGAAAATTGACTTTTTTAGAGAGAGAGAAGTAGGGGAAGGGGAGAGGGAGAGAGAAAGAGAGAAACATCGATTTGTTGTTCTACTTACTTATGCATTCATTGGTTGTTTCTTGTATGTGTCCTGACCGGGGAATTGAACTCACAACCTTGGGGTATTGGGATGATGCTCTGACCAACTGAGCTACCCCGCCAGAGCCTCATTCTGCATTTCAATCTGAGTGGCCCTGGTGATCTATACCATCTTCAAAGACCCAACTCAAATAACCCCCTTTTAAGGAAGCCTTTTCTGATTTACCTTACTCTGCACTCATAAGTTTTACTATTATTATAGTACTACCTCCAGCTCTGTCCTGCCCCAGGATCAATAACCTTCTAGGTTAGAACCAGTGTTGTTTCCTCTGGTACCCTGAGAGGACACCAGTTAGTATCTGCTGAAGAGAATGGTCAAGAAGCTCCAGGTTTGAACACCAGCCCTGGCACCTGCTATGTGACCCCAAGCAAGTGATTTCTTCTCTCTGAGTTTCTGTTCCCTTGCTGGTCTCCCATCCAAGCCCTTGGTGGACTTCAGCATCCAGGACAGACTTCAGCTAGAGTAAGACAGGGCACATCCTGTGTGAGAGGGGGTGGTTGTCAGCCAGAGGTCACTGGCCTTTGTACTGGTCCTGAGGTCAGCCACGTGGGTCACACTTGCTTGTGGGTGCGTGAGGGTGAGGCCCCACCCCACTGATATTTAGGGTGATCTTTCCTCACGCATGTTGAAATCGTATCAATTCCTGTTTTTAATTATTTCTTAATTTTTTGAAATCATGTGGATTCTATTTTCCCTACTGCATGGATTGCTTTTTTTTTTTAAATCCTCACCCAAGGATATGTTTTATTGATTATAGAAAAAAAGGAAGAGAGAGAGAGAGAAACCTTGGTGTGAGATAAAAAACATCGATTGGTTGCCTCCCATATGTGCCCCAACTGGGCATCGAAACTGAAAGCTAGGTGTGTGCCCTGACCGGGAATCGAACCTTCAACCTTTTGGTGTATGGGAGGACACTCCAACCAATTGAGCAACCCAGCCAGGAGTCATGGCATTGCTTACACAATAAGAAATCAATCTAGAAATCCAGTTCCATTCTAGGAACGAAAAACAGCTCATTTGGAGTGACGGGTCCCCCAGGGATGGGCTATATAAGGCAACGGGAGGGACCCGTTGCCCGGTGTGAGGCTGCAGGAGAAAGCCAGAGAGACATCTGGGCTTGGCTAATGCAAGTGTGGACAGATCAGCCAGATGTGGGGACATCAAGTAGCAATAAAATGAGAACATTCAAAAAACAGCTCCCAGTTCCCAAAAAGGACATACCAGGGAAGGCTGAAAGCCACCCATGCCCACAGCCTCTGCCCTAGGCACATACCACAAGTCACCCTTGTGTTGGCCTTGAGGGTGCACCCAGTGGAGGGATCAGAGTGGGCAACGGTGGGGAGGCGGGACCGTGGGAGGAACAGGGACAGAGGAGCCAGGCAGTTAAAGCTCATAAAGGTCCTATAATGGTCTCCTTTTTGCAGAGTGGGTAAACTGAGGCACAGAGAGGTTAACCAGCTTGCTCAAGGTCACACAGCCCAGCCCAAGCTGACCTCAAATTTACACTCAGGCCTCATTACATATAATGTGCGTTAGTGATTCAAAATTCTGCCCATGGGATGGAGGCTAATGCCAGGTGTGTGTGGGAGTTCACAATCGCTGGAATTTTCTCTAAGGAAGGATAAGATTTTCAAAAAAAGCTGATCAGATGGGATTCAAATCCTGGCTTTGCCACATACCTTCTCACTAACCTTGGGCTCCTCAGATCTCCATTCTGAGCTTCAGTTTCCCTTCCCTCATGGTGGAAGTGAGTTCTTCTGGGTACAGGGCTTAGCACATGGCGGGTGCTCAATTCCTGCAAACGTGCCCAGCAGGCGGCCGCCAGCCCTTACTCCCCCATCGTCATAATTGGCTCCTTGGCCCAGCCCCTCAGCTCCACGGCTCCTTATCTAGTCTCATAAATTATCCAGCTCCTGATGGCTGCCCTGAACTGCCATCCCAGGCTGAGCGCCAAGGCCACCACCGCTTTGTGGTGGCGGGACCTCATGTGGGAAAACTATGGCCTGGGGATGTGGGGTGGGCAGAGGGAGTGCTTTCCATGGCGACCGGTGACCTCTGCCCTCCACTCCAGGCCAGGGGTGTGCTCTTTGCCATCTCCGATTTGACCTGCACTTGAATTCCTCTTGGAACAGGGCACTACCTCCCTAGAGAGCTGGTATGTGCCATTTCTGAACATTTCTGGGGACTTGGGCTGCACCTGCAGCCACTGCCCTGGCATCTGCTTGGAATGACAGCCAGCCCCTCTTGGGTCTCACGGCGCCTTTGGCCCCACCTTCCTGTGAGAGCTCTGCACCACTCACTCACCCAGGACACATCCCCCTGAGATATCCTCATGCCTCCCATGTCTGGGAACAAACCTGTGACCCAGAGCCTGTGGCCTGGGGGAGGCTGGAAACTGGCACAACTCCCTCTGGCCACAGCCTGCGGTTTCCAGTCCCCCCTCCCAGGGGTTTAGGTGATAGGGGCTATCTCAGGTTCCCCAGGCAAGCCGGCCAGTAGAGGCACCTGGCAAAGCCTCCCGTCCCCTCCCACATTGGCCAGGAGAGCGGGCAGGGCCCCTAACCTACAGGGGACTGTTCTCATCCCGGCCACAGGCCCAAGGAGCAGCATGGTGTGGCCTTTGGGGGAATTTGTCTCCCTCTCTGTGCCTCATGGGAGGCATGGGTTCCAGATTCCCACCCCAGATCTGCTGGACAAACCCAGGATTCCATGGTCTGGGAGTGGGGAGGTTTAGGCTTTGAAGGTCCAGGGTTCTGGAATTTGAATGGGCTCCCAGCTCGGAAAACTGGCAGGCCGCCGGAGTCTAGAATTCCAAGGGGCTGAAGTTCCAGAACTTTGACGAGAGTTTGGCCGGGTCCTGGGTTCCAGGAATCTGTCTCAGCAACTGGCTCTTCCTGGAGGCTGGACAATGGACAGGGCTCCTCCACTGCGCAGTGGAATGTGATTCTTTGGTTCCAAGTATGAGGCCCTGCCTCTGCCTGATCATTTGTTATTGTCTCCTCACTCTCCTCCTCCCCTGTCCATAAACCATCCATCTCTCAACAAGCCCCTCTTCCACTCAGCACCCCACTCCTGGCCTGCCCAGTCTGCCTGTCCCCTGGGCCCAGCCAACCTTCCCAAGGGATAATGTTGATCTCAGATAAGCTCAGCTGGAATTCCCTGATCTGCCACTGCTGAGTGGCTGGGGGTGGGGGGTGGTGCTCAACATTGCTGAGCTTCAGTGTTCCCCCCTCTATGAAATGGGAATAACAAGGACACCAACTTGCCCGCTGGCATTCTGGATGGTTCCCCCAGGCCTCCTTGCTCCGGCCAAGGAGCCTTCGCCCAGCTGTGCCCCTACCTGCTGTGCCCGTCCGGCTCCTGGCTGTGTCCGCTAGTGCATCTCCTGGCCAGGTGCACGGCGGTCTGGCAGGGGCCGTGACACTGTGCGTGACCTTGGCCTGCACTGCCCCTGGCCTGTGTCCCACATTTCCTGTCTTCTAACTGCTAGAGAGTCACATACTCCAGGAGACCAACGACGACACCCTTTGGCATGAAAGTGCAGGGTCCAGGCCAGTCCGTGCATCAGTCAGTTCCAGCGCAGGCCGGAAGCACGCCCAGCTGCCTGTGGACCCCCCATCCACACCTCTGGGTGGCCACAGACACCCATATAGACAGACAGACAGACACACACACACACACACACGAAAACAGAGCCACTGGCAGTCTCCAGGCCCACCCCCAATCCCCTCACCACAAGGCTCAGTTTCCGGGAACTTTTCCTGTTTGCAACACTAACCAGGACCCCACCCAAAAGGGTGCTGTCAGCCGAACTAGATAGTTGCTCAACTTTGGCCCAGACTCGTGCGGCTCCTCGGAACCTCAGTTTCACATTTGTTCAACAGGTGTCTGAGAAGCGCTCAGAGCTGCCAGGAGGGCCAAAGAGAAGGGCGGGTTCTGAGATGAGGGGAGGGCACCCAGGCCGCATGGCCAGCGGGGAGTGACGGACCAAGAGCTGCGGGACCATATGAACCCATCGTTGCATGCGCACACACACTCACTCCCAGCCACACCTTCCCTGTGGCACCGTAGGACCCTAAATGTCCCCACATAGACTTAGGGAAACCCACACACAAGCACATTTTCGACTGCACATGGCTACGCGCCGACCAGGGCAGGCAGCAGAAGTGCACAGCCACTCTCCACAGAAGCAGATGCAGTCTGGTCAGCTCCCCAGGACGCCCAGAACCTGGCTGCTCTACTGACAGTGCTCAGGGCGACACACCCACAGCCAGGCAGGTCACCGCAGGAAACACTCCAGCAACACCTGTCCACTCTCACGACCCCCCTCCCGCCCCGCCCCGCAAACGAGACCGCTGTGTCCTCACCTGGTGATGATGAATGGATGGGGCCGCTGGGGTCGCTGTGCTGTCCGCTGTCCGGGAACCGGAGCCTGGAGGACAGACGGGCAGGAGCTAGTCCGGCCCGGGGTGGGGGTGGGATGGATGGAGCTGGGCGACCTGGCCTCCCGGGGCTCCTGGGGAAACTGAGTCACGGTGGGCGCGGGCCCACAGAGGATCTGGGGGCTGCCACGTCTCCAGAGGCACAGGACGCCCGGTGCGTGGGCTGCCGGGAAGCAGGAGGGGCTAGGTCCCCTCTGAGGCTCGAGCAGGGTCCTCGGGGGCTAAAAATAGCCGGGTGGGGCTCCGCTCCACAGACAGCACCCTGCCGCTCTCTAACCTCGTCTCTCGCGGTCTCTTTCCTTCCCTTCCTTTGCCTCTCATCAGCCCCACCCCCGCTGTGGCCACGCCCCTCAGGCCCCCGCCTGGCTGATGGGGGTCAGTTGGCGCCCCCCAGACCCCGGGGAGACTGCGCAGCCTCCTGGGGAAGGAACATCTGAGGGTCACCAGGTCACAGGGGCAGGGGTGTAGTGGCCAGCACTGCCACCCGCCTGCCCCAGCTGGGCCCCCTCCAGTAGCTCCCGCGGCATTATTCACGGTCTGGGCAGCATCCGAGGCACGGAGGGGGCGGGCACGTTCTGAGTAAGGCAGGGTCAGCTCCCCAGGGTGCCCAGAACCCCCACTCAGGCTGAGAGCTGGTGAACCCGCTGGGGTTGGGTCTGGCACACGGTAGGTGGATTTGAGGCGGCTGCCAGGGCTGGGGGTTGGGGGTGCAGGGTGTTTAGAGGGGAGGGGCGGCAAGACTCTCCAGCCAGAAGCTCAGTGGGCAGCCTTCTGAGACAGGGCTTCCTGGAGCAGGTGAGCGGAGAGGGCTGTGGGTGACTGAGGGAGAGGGCAGTCCTGAGGAGGGGCCCATGAGACAAAGGCTGAGACAGGGCACTGGGGCCGGGGGCAGGGAAGCCTGCGGTCCGGGCGGGGAGGGTGCTTCCCCTCCCCGCAGTGCAGGGTGGGGAAGGGCTGGAGTCTGTCACTGTGGGAATGATTTGGAGGTTGAGGCCGCAGAGCAGGAACATGGCTCTGGAATGGGCTTCCCAGGCAGGGTCTACTTCCTCGAAAGCCCCAGACACACTCGGGGCTCTGGGCCAGGGTCTTATCAGCCCAAAGTGACCAGGCTGGACACAGCTAGAGCAAATGCATGGTGGCTGGCCCGTGCTGCACGAAAGTGAGGAGCTTCTTGAAGGCCCTTCCTGCCCACAGTCCTGGCCCTTACGTGGGTTGAGAGGGCCCAAAGGCCTAGGCATGGAGGGGCAACCTTGGGCCTTGCTCATCCAGAGTTAGGGCCTAGAATGGACCGTGACTGGCTAGTTTGGCCTTGAGCCCTCCCCGCCCAGTTCTTGGAGCCTGGGAGGGGCACACAAGAGCAGGATCTGAGTGAAGACTGACTCTAGCCTTGTACTCCCTGAGGTCTGTCGGGAAGCCCCTTCTCTGGCTTTCCTGCCTACCATGTTCCGGCCTTGGCTCACACCCCATTCCTCCAGATGGCCCCTCCCCCGTTCCCATCCCATTCTTTGAGTTCCTGAGCCATTTAACCCTAACTTCTCTTGAATGGCAAGGAGCCGTCCAACTCCGATGCATCTGGCAGAGCCCTGGTTCCAAGGACCTCTCCTCTGTAAAGCCTTGACAGTCTTGCTCCCCTTTAATCCCTTTTCAAGGACAACTGTGTCCTCCAGCCCATTTGGTGGACAGCTATGAACCCCAGGTAGGACTGGACACAAGACTTGTGTTCTCAAGGACCCCCCAGGCTGGAGAAAGACAGAGCTAGACACAGCCCTAACCACCGGCAGTCACAGCTCGGCCAGAGGAAGCAATGGGGCACTGGGGAGCCCAGAAGGTGAGCCAGGGAGGCCTGCTCTGGGGAGGCCTATGAACTGCTGCTTTGTGGGATGTGTAGGTGTTCCCCAGATGCAAGAGACATGACAGAAATAATACGTGCAAGACTGGAGGCAAGAGAGAGCATGAGGCCTTGAACTGCAGTGAGGGCTTGATGTGGTCAGAAGAGGATGCGGGGCTGGGCCTCCAGATGGGGGAGGTGGGGGGAGAGATGGCGGGAAGACTTCCATTCCCACTTCCTCTGTCCAGAGATAAGAAGGACAATGCTCCTTCTGGGACAGAGCCAGGGCCGGGTTCGGAGATGCACACTTGACTCGAATTTAGTCTGGGTCTCACTGCAGCTCTTGCAAAGGAGGTAAAGATGCTCATTTTATAAATGGGGAAACTGAGGCCCAGAGGGAGGAAATGACATGGCCAAGGCTGCACATGGGTAGGACTTGAACTCGAGCTCTGGGCTTCCCCCAACCTCCTGGGCCAGTGGCTGGAGGTCTGCTAGCCTCTGTTTACCCCCTCCTAGCTCACTTGGCACAGGGGAGGCTTGAAAGACACTGAGATGGCCTGGGGTGGCGGCGGGGGGCGGGGGGGGGGGCGGCGCAGGCCAGATGGTCGGAGCAGAGGCCAGGCTCAGGATGTGCCCCCCATGGCTGTGGTTTCCGGTGGGGGACCAGGCAGGGACTATCTATTTTTGGATTTGGATACAGCCAGCAGGAAGAGGCTGGGGTGGGGATTGGGGGCAGCTTGGGCCAGGGTGGAGGTGAGGGGCAGCTGGACGGATGCAGTGCCTCCAGTCTGCCTGAGGGGTCTCCTTGACACCCAGCTTGTGTCCCTGCTCAGCGTTCACCCCAATGGTTCCCCAGGGCCCTGGGGAGAGTCCAGCTCCTGAGCTTGCATTCAGACCTGCTGTGTCCTCGGCCCTGGGCGAACCTGCTCTCTCCCCCTGCAAGACAGGCTCCACCCTCCTCCTCCGCTCAGCAGCCCTCCCCCAGGAAGTCTTCAGTATCTAGTCTGAGGTCCCTCAGGCTCAGTGCCTCCCCCACCCCCACTCCAGCCTAAGTCCTTGGGCTGCAGGCGCCAGAGCCCAGCTCTCCTCCCTCCTGATCAGGGGCTCCCGGCTAAACACACCCAGCAAGTCGGTGGATGGTCACCTTCTCCCTTGGGATGAACACGCTTCCTGGACTCTATGGGGGACACTGTGGCTGGGAGGAGTCTCCTGGGGGCAGGTGGGGAAACTGAGGCTGGGATGTGGGTGGTGGCTCTCCACGTTGGAGAAGTTCCAGTCTGAACCCTGCCTCTTTCTATGTTTGAAAACATGGCCCTCGACGAGCCTGTTTTCCCAAATGGACATAATTCCTGTCACGTAGAGCTGATACGAGGTCGGGGCTGGGCCGCAGCAGCCACACACAGCCCAGGCTGTGAGAACAGAGTGGGGCCTTGCCCATCTGCTGCCTAAGCCCTGGGCTAGGCACAAAAAAACGCTTCTGGGGCCTGCCCTGCACTCAGTGACAGGCAAGTAGGCCACGATCGACCGGTAGTGGCTGCTGGCTCCCAAGGGTTCCAAAGGGGACAGAAATGGCCCTTGTGCTGCCATAAGGATATTCTTCGTACTGGATCAAGGTGGTTGGGTCAGCCAGGGTCTGCAGGGTGAAGAGGGTGCCAATTGGCCAGAGGGACTTTAGCTGCCCTAGGCGAGCAGCTACTCACCGCCTGGCGTCTGTGGTCAGGTCTGGGCCGTTTATGACCATGCCCTCCTAACGGAAGAGATGGCTGACAGGCCTGAGGCAGTGACAGAAGAAACCCACTGACTGTAAGAAGCTTCCTAAGGACAACTGTTGACTATTTTTATGTGTTGTGGTTTTTAAAAGGTCTTCTTGGTTGATGCCTTAGTTGTACAGAAAAATGTGCCGTGGTTACATGAGACATTAACAATAGGGACAGCTGGATGTGGGGGTAGGAGCCTGGGGCTACCTTTCCAGCATTTCTGAAACTCCAGTTATTCTAAAATAAAGTGTTTATTTAAAAAAAATCATACTCTTATGAGATCAGTTAGATGAAAATAAAAAAGATTTTCCCCTCCCCACCTAAAAAAGTCTTTAGAGAAACCACCTAAAATATTTCCAGACAAAATCAGGTACAGGGTGGGGCTGTCTGAGGAGCCGGGAGGTGGCGCTGCAGGGTTTGGTGCAGGCTCTTTCCACCTTAGGCTGCAGATGTCTCCACAACAGACCCTTGGTTCCTGGACATCATGGTGGATGACATGTTCTTCATCCTCACTTGGGAGGAGACTGACCCCACAGCCAGCACCAGGGTAAGGTGAGTGGGACGTCCCTCAAGAGAGACTTTAGAACCTGGCACAGCTGGGACCAGGCTCCACTGGTGTGGGCTCTGAGGGAGTCTGGCTGGGAAGGGGCCAGGTGTGTGGGCGCTGTAGCAGCAGGCTGTGTCGAGGGCCAATCAGTGCTCCGAATTTGGATTTCCTGCCCCTCAAAAGCTTGGTGCCCCTTGTCTGGGCCTCGTGCTGCCCCCAGCGAAGGGCCTGCACTACAGGGCTGGCCTAGGGCGGGGCCTGCGCCTTAGTGTGCCCACGCGAGCAGAGAGGTTGGCTGACGCTTGCTGGGTTGCCTGGGCTCAAAGAGTCCCCACCAGCCGTGCCACCACGCATGTCACAATCCTGGGCCAGCCTGTCCTGGTCAGCCCTCACCTCTCACAGAGGCAGTTCCCCTGTGACTTGCTCGCTGTTCACGCAGAGAAAGTAAGGCTAGTGAGGGGGAGGCCCAGCCTGAGGTGGGCTGGGAACCAACCAGGGAAGGCTGCCGGCCTCGCCACTCCAGTCGGGTGCTTTGGGAAGAATGCGGGGCCATCACCGCCGGTAACGGTAGCGTTTGAAGTGGAACCAGAGCTGGAAGATGCCATTGGCGAACTGGCAGCGGAAGCCATGGCGGTGTGAGTACTCCCACTCGCGGTTGACGATCTTGAAGGCAATATCCTCATAGGGCGGACCAGCGTGGAAGCGCAGGGTGGCAAAATCCTTGTTGTCAGGGCAGGCCTCCAGGAAGTACTCGGGAGTGGAGCGCTTATCAATGAGGTCAGGGTAGAAGATGTTGAACTTGTAGCCTTGCACGATCTTGGGTGGCGGATTGTCAAAGTCATAGTGTGTCTGGTTGTACTTGTTCCACTCAAAGCCCGTGTGCACACGGTTGAAGAAGCGTGGCTTGCGCGGCCGGTACTTGT